AGGTATGTAATAATAATCTTTAAGGATATATATATAATTATTATTAAAAAAAGAAATTACTATATCTCTTTATAGAGAGATTTTTTTTTTTTTTTTATATCTCCTTAGTTAATATACTTATTTATATAGATAATCTTTATAAATAAGGATTTATTACTTATAATATTAATAGTAGTAGTAGTATCTAGGCAAAACGTAATATATTTATTATTCCTAGTTATATATATAGGTTTATTTATATTATTACTTATTTTATTATTAGTTATAGTTATTATAAAGAAGGTTATATAACTTATATCTTTAAAATCTAAGTCTATTTTACTTTTTTCTTTTTATTAAGGGTTATTTATAACTATATTATTTATATCTATAATATACGCATTTTCTATATCTGATGTATCTGATTCTTTAGAATCTTTTTTCTTTATTATAGCTTTTTTAGCTATTAAGGCTTTTTAGGCCTTATAGAGCTTATTTCTTTTTATATTAGTTCTTTATTACCTTAGGACTTTTTCCTTAGTATTATTCTTATTTTTCTAGCCTTTAAAGGCCTTAATAGGATATAAGAAGTTATAGTCTTTAACTATATAGTTTTTTAACTTATAGTATATATAGTAAATACTTTTTGTCTTTTTCTAAGGCTTTTTAATTCTTTTTCTAAAAGTAGAAGTAGTATATAATACTATAAAAGAACCCTTTTTTTTGCTTTATTTATAAGATTTGTAAAAAGGGATTTTATAGTATAGGAATTTATATTCTTTTTAAAGGCTTAAGTTATATTAGTTATAAAACCTTTATAACTATTATCTAGACTATTTAATACTTAAGCTATAATAACTTATTTTAATAAAGCTATATCTTTAAAAGATAAGTTATTTATAAGCTCTTTTACTTTATTAAGGTATTCTTCTATAGATCTAAAGGATTTTAAGGAGGTATTAAAGAACTTTTTATAAATAAGATATTTATTAGTAAAACTAATAAGTTTATATAGATCTTTTAGTTTCTTTTAGGCCTTATATCCTATTATAAAGTCTTTTATAACCTTTAAAAGGGAATCCTTATAAAATAGCTTTATAAAAGCTAATACTTTTATATTACTTTTTTATTAAAAAGATATAGTTAAAGAGGCTATAAGACTAAAGTTAATATCTTTATTAATAAGTAAAGCTTTAAATCTAGTTACTTAAACATTATAGTTAAGGCTACTAAAAAGGTATAGTATATAGATTTTTTCTATAGTATTAATTTGGTTTAAATTTAATTAGAATATAAGGATTTTAGTTGATTTTAGCTGATTAGAAAGAGATATTAGTATTCTTGGCTGATTAGAGAGAGATATTAGTATTCTGATAGTATTGTTGAATTTGTTTTGAAAAATGGGCCTTAAAAGTGGTTAGGTTGTTATAATGTTGTTATTAATAGTATGGTGTTGCGTGGTTGCCTTAGGTTAAAGATATATATAGGCCTTTAATTAAAGAAGCTTTCACTAGACAGTAGAGTAGTTAGTCTAGTGGTTTAGTTATTCTTTAGATTAACTAATTGAATTGGTAACTTAATTAGAGCTCTTAGGTTTAATTTTAGCTTAAGGTATATAGTCTTTGTTAGATATAGACTAGAAATAACCTTTAACTAGTAGGGTAGGATTGTGATTTGCTTGGAGCTGTAGTGGCGTAAAATATAGCGATAGGTGTAGTGTTTGCTTAGTAAGCCGGTCTTTTTATTCTGCTGAATATGGACTGCTGGGTGTGAGGTGTAGTTGCTTTAGAGCTGTATTCCTTAAAATTCCCTTAGCTAATGTGGTTTGTCCTTTAGTAAGGTTGAATTTTTGTTGTATAAAATAGAGGTATAAGTATAAGGTAAAGGTATAAGAGTTATCTTTTTTACTAAGCTAGGCTTATAACTAGTAAGAATAATAAGGGGTTATTTATAATAGTTATAAGGAAAAGTAGAGAAGAATAAGGTAAACAGAAAAGGTATATATATATATTAACTATTAAGGTTTTATTATATCTTTATTGTTATTAAAAACTATCTAAGTAGAAGGAATATTTCTTAGTTATATAGAAAGTCCTTTAGATACATATAGTATCTAAGTATATATCTAAGCGTATATCTAAGTACTAAGAGGTACTTATATATTTCTTATATATATATATATATGCTTATATATACTTATAAATAAGTATAAGTACTAATATATATAATACTTAGAAGTATATATGTTTATATATAGTAGACTATATTAGTTTATAGTAGTTTATATTAGTATAGTTATATATAGTAATATGTACTTTTATAAGTTATTTTTTAAAAAGAATCTAGAAAAAATAACTATATATTTATAAGACTTTTAGTTATAGAGTTATAAAGAGATTTATATATAAGAATTATAAGAATTTTACTTCTTAATTCTTAGTCTAGTTATTAATATAACTTATTAATTTATTTATATAAAATAATTAACTTATAAACTAAAAGTATTAATAAGTTAATATATAAATTAGCTTTTATTAAAGCTAAGTGTTATAAGCTTTATATAACAAATAAGATACTAAGTAAGCATTAGAGGGCTAAAAAAACCTAACTATGTCTTAAAGGGTCCCTTAATATAGCTAAAGTAGAGGTAATCTAGGTAAAGAAAAGGGTTATTAATACTAAAAGCAAAAATACGCATTAAGAGGAGGCTTATACAGAAGGGGGTGAATTGCGTAGTTAGTGATATAGTAATTACAGAAAGACTAGACATAACGTATAAATATGTCAGGTAGTATAAGAGACCTCTAAAGAAAAGGATAATAAGTAGTTTTAATTGATTTTGTATAATACTGCTTGATTGACTTATATAAATAGCTAGAGGGTAAGTAAAGGTAAGCTACTTACTATAATAGGCTACTTACTATATATATACGTTATATAAAAGTAAACTAAGCTTATATAATTATAGGATCCTTAATTAATACCTTTTAATAGTTAATTTTATATTAAAAATATATTTTTAGTTATAATTAGTATTATATAAAGTTCTTTATTTATTAAAGTCTAATATATATTATATTATATTTATTAAAGAAATAATCAGTTATATCTTATATATTATTAACTTATAATAGAAATCTTTAATTAATTAAGTTAATAACTTATTTAAAAATTATTATTTCTTTTAGCTTAGTTATTTTTATTAATTTTATATAAGTCTTATAATATAATAATTATTTAGTATATTAGTATTAAAGTATTATTTTTAAGACGTTATAAATAAAAGCTATTTTTTATATAGATAGTTTTAGGTCTTTTTTAATAGCTTTAATTATAAAAATAATATAACTTTTATTTAAAAAAGAACTTATTATTATATATAAAAGAATATTAATATAAAGTTAAAGTTTAAGGAGAAAGGAGAAAGTAGGCTACTTGCTATATATATACGTTAAGGTATAACTTCTTTTTTACTACTATAACCTCTTTTTTTTATTACTTCTTATGTAGAGAAAAGGTTTTTAGTGTAGAAGCCTAATAGCTAAAACCCCTAGGAATAGAAATTCTTAGCTATACCTTAGCTCTAGATCTAACTAAGTCTCTTATTAATAAGAGGTAATAATAGATTTAAAATTAAGGTATAACTAAGAATTTCTATGATATTAACGTACATGCATAGTGAGTCGGCCATCATAGTAAGTCGGCCACTTCCTTATCGTATATAAAACCCCTAGTTTTCAACTATTTTTTAAAAATCTATTTTAAGCTTAAAATAGACTAGGTTTTGACTATTAGTATTCGATAAGAGTTATATTATAAGAAATAATACTATAGAAATTCCTACCTTAGTTATTATACTACCTTATGTAAGCTAGCTTATCTAGCTTCTAGATAAGAGATCTAGGTATAAGGTATTATAAGGCTAGAGTGATAATTTCTATAGTATTATTTCTTATAATATAACTCTTATCAAATACTAATAGTTAAAACCTAGTCTATTTTAAGCTTAAAATAGATTTTTAAAAAATAGTTGAAAACTAGGGGTTTTATATACGATAAGGAAGTGGCCGACTCACTATGATGGCCGACTCACTATGCATATACGTTATTTTATAGTATTTAAGTGTTATTAAAACTTAAGTATAACTTTCTATTAATCTTAAGCCTAAGTTAGATTTTCAAGAAATAGTTTAAAAACAAGGGTTTTTTTAGTAATAAGAAATAGGCTACTTACTACAATAGGTAACTTACAATATATATATGTTAGTATATAACTCTTACTAATAGCTAAGTATAAAGTTATATGTATTTTTAAACTAAAACCTGAATTTTTTTAAAATACGTAAAAAAGTACCTTTTAAGGTATAATAAGAAAGTAGAGAACTTACTATAATAAGTAACTCACTATATATATATATATATATATATACACGTTAGAAATAAGTAGTTTTTCTTCTATACTTTTATTAGCTATATTTACTAGTAACTACCTTACTAAAATAGGTAAGGAATTAAGTTACTTATATAATTAGTTACGTTTCATAAGGGTAGCTTAAAGCAAGGGACAGCCAGGGAACATTGGGCCGTCCATAGACGGGTCTGTGGTTATTGTGTACCGTAACTACCTACTAAGTCCTAAATAAGTGGAGTCGCTGGCAAGGGTACCCCTAGTACTGCTATTCATTCACGCCCGGGTTAACAATGCACAAGAAGGGAAAAAAAAAGAGTCATACTTTCCCAGAGCTCCGGTATAGGCGCACCAGTGCACGCTTCACCGCAACAAAACAAACCCCTCTCATTAATCTGCCCCTCCTCCCGCCAATTGGCCTTGGCCCAGAAAAAAATAAACTGATTTCCGCCCCGAGGACCGCTGAGAGGCCACACGTACAAGCACTCCTGGATCTATACACTCTCTCGATCGAGTCTCACAGTGAATTCGAACACAAACACCAATTCGATGCGCCAAAGTCTCACCTAACCATCAAAGACTTCTTCCTCCCCTCCTACTGTCGCGATCGATTATGGGATTGGCCAATGGCTCGGGTTCGGGCCCTGGCCCGACCCGGATCTCGATCCTGGGTAAGGACGACATTGTTGTCGACCACGGCATCTGGCTCGACTTTGTGACTCACGATCTCCTTACGAATCTCGAGACGTCGACCTACGTTCTCATCACCGATACAAACCTCTACGACATCTATGTCCCGCCCTTCCAGAAAGCATTCAACACTGCTGCACCCACCTCGACAAGGCTCCTCACCTACGCCATCCCGCCCGGGGAAGGGTCCAAGAGCCGCCAGACTAAAGCGAGCATTGAAGACTGGATGCTGTCGCAGAAATGCACAAGAGATACTGTCATCATTGCCCTCGGTGGCGGTGTCATTGGCGACATGATCGGCTATGTTGCTGCCACCTTCATGCGAGGGGTTCGCTTCGTCCAGGTGCCTACCACTCTGCTGTCTATGGTTGACTCATCCATTGGCGGCAAAACTGCCATCGATACTCCCATGGGCAAGAACCTTATTGGCGCCTTCTGGCAACCATTCCGCATCTATATCGACCTGGCCTTCCTCGAGACCCTGCCAACTCGAGAATTTATCAATGGCATGGCGGAGGTTGTGAAGACGGCCGCCATCTGGGATGAGGATGAGTTCACGACTCTCGAATCCAATGCGCCCGCCATTCTCGCTGCCGTAAAGTCCCAGGGCTCTCAGAGACTCTCCCCTATCCGAGACATTCTTAAACGAATCGTGCTGGGCTCTGCTCGCGTCAAGGCCCAGGTTGTCTCGAGTGACGAAAGAGAAGGCGGTCTAAGGAACCTGCTCAACTTTGGCCACTCCATCGGCCACGCATACGAAGCCCTCCTGACCCCTCAACTTCTCCACGGCGAGGCAGTTGCAATTGGCATGGTCAAGGAGGCGGAATTGGCCCGCTACCTTGGCGTTCTCCGGCCTGGCGCTGTAGCCCGACTCGTCAAATGCATCGCAAGCTATGAGTTGCCCACCTCCGTACATGACAAGAAGGTTGTCGAGTTAACGGCAGGCAAGAAGTGTCCGGTTGATGTATTGCTGGAGAAGATGGCTGTCGACAAGAAGAACGACGGAGCCAAGAAGAAAATTGTGCTACTTTCGGCCATTGGAAAGACGCATGAGCAAAAGGCCAGCATCGTCGAAGATCGCGCAATCAGGGTAGTTCTCTCTCCGGCAACGCAAGTGATTCCTGGTGTGCCAAAGTCACACGTCACTACAGTCATACCTCCCGGCTCCAAGAGTATCTCGAACCGTGCCCTTGTTCTTGCAGCCCTTGGCCAGGGAACCTGCCGCATCACGAACCTGCTGCATTCCGATGACACCGAGTACATGCTCTCAGCAATTGCTCAACTGGGCGGTGCGACCTATGCCTGGGAAGAAGCTGGAGAGGTCCTGGCCGTTCAAGGCAAGGGTGGCAAGCTCAGTGCAAGCAAGGAGGCGCTGTACCTGGGCAACGCTGGGACTGCTTCTCGGTTCTTGACAACCGTGGTTGCTCTCTGCGCCCCATCTGCCGTCTCTTCAACAGTGCTTACAGGAAACGCCCGTATGAAGGTCCGGCCTATTGGACCTCTGGTTGACGCGCTCAGGGCCAATGGGTTGGGTATCAAGTACCTGGGCCAGGAGAAGAGTCTCCCTCTTCAAGTAGACGCTGCTGATGGCTTCGAGGGCGGAGTCATTGAACTGTCCGCTACCATTTCCTCTCAGTATGTCTCGTCCATTCTTATGGCTGCGCCGTACGCAAAGAAACCCGTCACCCTGCGTCTTGTTGGCGGAAAGCCCATTTCCCAATTCTACATCGACATGACCATAGCCATGATGTCCACTTTCGGCGTCAATGTAACGAAATCAACGGAGGAGCCCAACACGTACCATATCCCCAAGGCCATCTACCAAAACCCCCCGAGTACGTGGTTGAGAGCGACGCTAGCTCGGCGACTTACCCTCTCGCTATTGCGGCAATCACCGGCACTACCTGCACTGTGCCCAACATCGGCTCAGAGTCGCTCCAAGGCGATTCTCGATTCGCCGTCGACGTGCTGAGACCCATGGGCTGCATCGTTGAGCAAACAGGTACATCGACCACTGTTACCGGGCCGGCCATTGGCAGCCTGAAGGCCATTGAGCACGTTGATATGGAACCCATGACAGATGCCTTCCTGACGGCGTCCGTCCTTGCAGCTGTCGCATCGGGGACTACAAAGATCAGTGGTATCGCCAACCAGCGAGTCAAGGAGTGCAACCGTATCGGAGCCATGCGCGAGCAACTGGCAAAGTTTGGCGTTGATACGGATGAGTTTGACGACGGCATCGTTGTTACCGGACGTTCTGTTCAAAGCCTCCAAGAGCCCGCTGACAGCATATTTTGCTACGACGATCACCGCGTTGCCATGAGCTTCAGTGTCCTCTCAGTCGTGTCACCAAAGCCCGTGACAATACTCGAAAGGGAATGTACTGGCAAGACATGGCCGGGTTGGTGGGATACCTTGTCCCAGTCCTTCAACGTTGATCTGGACGGTGTTGACCAGCATCCCAAGACGGCGGCGATAGGACCTTCCACAAAGAGTCGGAAGGACAAGTCTGTCTTCATCATTGGCATGCGTGGTGCGGGTAAGACAACCGCTGGTCGGTGGATGGCCAACACGCTAAAGAGACCGTTCATTGATCTGGACGAGGAGCTAGAGAGACGGGCTGGGATGACAATTCCTGAGATGATTAGAGGCTCCAAAGGCTGGGTCGGCTTCAGAAATGACGAGCTTGAGCTCCTCCGGGATGTCTTGGAAAAACAGAGCCATGGCTACATTTTCTCGTGCGGTGGTGGCATTGTCGAGACACCCGAAGCTCGGAAACTACTCATCGCTCACTGTCACAATGACGGAACCGTGTTGTTGGTCCACCGCAATACCAAAGAGGTCGTTGACTACCTTCTCCAGGACAAGTCAAGACCAGCCTACAGGGAGGACATTGAGGGTGTTTACTACCGCCGGAAGCCATTCTTCGAGGAATGCAGCAACTTCGAGTACTTTAGCCCTCACCCACCTGGTACTCTGGCCACGCGGGACCCACCGTTGGACTTCCGGCGCTTTGTCAACGCCTTGTGCGGAGAGCAAGTACAGGTAAAGAAAGCGCTGGCGAAGGATCCCAGCTTCTTCGTTTCCCTCACAGTACCTGAAGTTGCTTCAGCTCTGACTCTGATACCGGCCGTTGTCGTTGGGTCAGATGCGGTAGAGCTTCGCGTGGATTTGCTGCAAGACTACTCGGAAGAGTCGGTGGCGCACCAAGTTGCGCTGCTCCGTTCTGTCGCTGACGTGCCCATCATCTTCACCTTGCGCACGAAAGCCCAGGGTGGCAGATTCCCAGACGACGCCTACGACCAAGGTCTTGGACTTTATCAGAAGGCCATCCGCATGGGCGTTGAGTTCATCGACGTTGAGATGACACTTCCGGAACAAGTCATCCGAGCAGTCGTGGAGAACAAGGGGCCGTGTCGCATCATTGCTTCTCACCACGACCCTCAGGGTAAACTGTCGTGGAAGAATGGTTCCTGGATCCCATTCTATAACAAGGCCCTCCAATGGGGTGATGTGATCAAGCTGGTTGGTGTTGCGCAGCAAATTGAGGATAACTACGACTTGGCGCAGTTCAAGTCCGAAATGTTTTCCTCACACAAGACCCCCATCATTGCCCTCAACATGGGTACTGCCGGCAAGCTCAGCCGTGTGCTTAACGGCTGCCTCACTCCGGTCTCTCATCCAGCTCTACCGTTCAAGGCGGCTCCAGGGCAGTTGTCCGCGGCTGAGATCCGGCAGGCTATGGCGCTGCTAGGTGGCATTAGCCCTCAGTCCTTCTATCTCTTCGGCAAGCCCATCTCGGCGTCAAGGTCACCGGCACTGCACAACACCCTTTTCGCGCTGGCCGGCTTGCCGCACTTTTACTCGCGAAAGGAGACGGATAACGCTGCTGACGTACGCGAAGCTATCCGTGCGCCTGATTTCGGCGGTGCATCCGTCACTATCCCGCTGAAGCTGGATATCATGAAAGAAATTGATGAAGTCTCAGAAGCCGCTCGTATCATTGGGGCCGTCAACACCATCATTCCCATTAGGAATGCTGGGGACAGCACTGCTAAGCTCGTCGGTGATAATACTGACTGGTCAGGCATGGTACACTCTCTTCAGTCCGCAGGAGTTGCATCTCGCTCCACTACCGGCGCCCAGTGCGCTGCAATGGTCATCGGCTCAGGTGGAACTACAAGAGCCGCCATCTTTGCCCTTCATGCGCTGGGCTTCGGGCCCATTTACGCCTTGGCGCGCAACAGCGGTAACTTGGAGACTCTGAAGGCCTCCTTCCCTCCCGAGTATCGCATCGAAGCTCTCAAGAGCGCCAGCGAGGCATCTGCCCTGACATCCTCACCTACCGTCATTGTCAGCACGATTCCTGCAGACAAGCCGGTCGATCCCTCGCTTCGGGAGACTTTGGTGGCGGTGTTGGGCCATGGGCCGGCTGCCGAGGAGAAACGCGTCCTTCTTGAGATGGCCTATCAGCCTCGCCACACCCCTTTGATGCAACTCGCTGAGGAGGCCGGATGGGAAACTATCCCTGGGCTGGAAGTGCTCTCTGCCCAGGGCTGGTACCAGGTAAGTTCAACATGGACTCCGGAGAGGCAGGAAACAACGAGCAGAATGCAGTAGCTAACCCGAATCGACTCTAGTTCCAGAAATGGACCGACATCATTCCCCTCTACCAAACGGCTCGAGCGGCCGTACTGGGCGAGGAGGCCATGGAAGCCAGCGGCGGCAAGGCATGACGGAAGAGCGGAAAATATCCGGGATAGCAGGGGGGTTGACACATCAAACTTGCCTTGTTTCCCTCTTCTACCTAGGTATTCCGCGGGGGATTAGGCGAGTGTCTTGCCATGCTTTGTTACCCACTATGACCTATGCCTGTGGACCCCATGGGACGGAATTTAGTGTAGACCCGGCGAATGGTATTTTATTTTAGGTTGCATGGCTTTATCAAAATAGGAAGGGAAAAATAAAATAGAAGGGTTACTATTTTCTATGTAATATTCTGTTTCGTCTCTTCGCCGATTTAGCCATTGGGTTGACGTGCAGCTACTTGTTACTGTAATTTTAAGGTGCAGGCCCAGACGTGGCACATGACGCTTTTAGACAATCTAGCAACTCGCAACCAGAATCTATACCAATTGCAGCAATTCGCATAGGACACCGCAACTAAACCAACAAAGTATAAATCATACATCGGAAATCGCGATCACAGACAGGCCGATTGTGCACGATGCACGCAGACAGTGGAATGTGGTGAAGAGTGCTCTTGCGCCGATGAAGAATAGTTTTGATTCTTTCTTTTGATATCATACATGATTAATACTTCTATAACTTCTCATAATGAATCATTAACTCATTCCGTTGCGTGCAGCCGAGACCGCTGCTGTCGTATACCAAACCCGTATAACCTTTTTTGTCTAGCCAATGCAGGTATGTAGCATACAACCCAAAATAATACAGTATACAACCGGCTTCGCCGTCCGGCATCAAAGCAAAAATGACATGGGGCAAACAAGCTTAGAAACAGCCGCTGCTGTTGTACAATGAAAAAAATTGTTAAGACAAAGGGCGAAAAAGTCACCACAACCACATCGCAGGCATGACAATAGCATTGCAGCCGTCGAGGCGGCTTATGCGCCCATTGGTCGGTGACAGCGGGTAAACGAGGCCGATTGGCAATGCGTGTCCAAAGCAGGAATGGTCATAGCAATATCATGACGCTCCTTCTCAATCTCGTCCCACATATGTAATGGGAAGATTGGCGGGGACAAATGATCGCGCCAAGACTCGTCATGATGTCGTCGGGCGGAGTCTGCCAGAGTCGGAACGGGTAAAAGTCGCATGGATAGTCGCGCAGGGCGAGGTTGAATGAATGATGTCATTATGGGCCATGCGGATCGTCAGGGTCGTAAAGCACGGACCATATTGATGTCATACCACACGACCCTTACTGCACCGTCGAAGACCCTGAAATTCCACCCATGTCCCACCCACCCCACTCCATCATTGGCGTCTTTCAAGGAGTCTGGAGAGCCCATCCTGGCCGTTGACGTCTCCCAGTCGTCTTGATACAGGCGTCGGATTGGTTGCACGGGCATCAATGCCGACCGCTTCGAAGCTCTGTGACACTTCTTTTGTGCGGGGCTCTTGCACCGTCCATCAATCTGACTTTGCTGGGTTCTGGCCGACGTCATGATACGTACCGGAGCTTCTCCGCCCGAACAGTGTGGCTTCGCATGATGTCGTTGAGTGTTTGCACATGGCCGACATCCCGAAAACGCGATTCATGAATCAAACGTCGCTCGTAACTCTGGTGGGAAACTTAGGCGTTCTGGCCGCGACGTCGATGCTTGCCGGGAAATTCAACGTCGGGATGACAGACACGATAGTGTCGTGTAAGTGCATCCGCACGGCTGAATGTCTTCTCTTCGGTGCACAGGTTACAGCGAACCTTTTGCTTGCGTGCGTTGTGAATCGTATCCTCATGCCTCGTCAGATCGTAAGGGCGTGAGAAAATCGTGTGACACGGCTTGCCAGTGCTCGGGTTGATGCGGTCACAGCGGTGAGGACCAGCTTGGCTGTTCAATAGGCTGTTGGGAGAAGCAACAGCAGTATCAGGTCTCCTGGGGCCTCCAATTCCCTGGGTCTGACGGTGACCCTCTCGTTTGTGCTTTTGTAGAAGAGCAGGAGTCTCAAAGCGCATCGTGCAGCCGTGATAAGTACATGTGTACGTGCCCCCATCCGCAGCAGTGCCAGCCGGCTTGGACATGGGAACGCCATTCGAAACTGGTGTTCCCTCGGAAATGCCAGAGCTGGACTCGGCAGAGCTGAGGCGAGGCATATGCTCCTGGGTCTGAGATTGACGCGGATGGGCGATGAATGGGTATTGTTGAGGTATGTGAACACCGGTTTGTAACTGAGTTGACATGTAAGGGAAAGCAGATCCGGTCTGCATGGCCGATCTGGCAAAATTGGCCTGCTGATCCTGTGAGACGACCGCTTTTGCGATATCCTCAAAATCCGCCGACTCTTGAGAGGGAAACAATGGGAAGGATGAGTCGCCATCGGCATCATGGAACTCAAGCATGGCGTCCTTGGGAGAGATGGTTTTGGGAGTCTCAGGCTCAGACTTCATAGACATTTGCTGCCTCATGATCTGAGCGTCTTGCTCAGCTTTCTTCTGCTCCCGCATCTGATGTGCCGAATTGAACCTCAAGCGAGAGGCCTGCATACCGGTGCCAAAGTCGTGGTTGGCAACTGGAGCAAGGGGCGAACCTTGGCGGAACGGAGACCGGTCTCGTGAGACACTCGACGCAGGCGAGTGTGCCGCGCTCAAGTGTTGGTTGTTGGCAGCGCTTAATCGTTGAGCGAACACGTCGTTACTGGGAGACACGGCCATCTGGGGCTGTGCGGGCGATGCTGATGTGATTGTAAAGTTTGGGCTGTATAGCTCATCGTTGTAAATATCTGTCATCGTACGGTCCAACTTGGGAACATTGCTGAAGACTGTATCATCGAACAATGGTAAGCATGTGCTTATAAGGTCATCGAAACCCGAGGAAGATTCCTTACCAGCTTTGCGCCTCCTGTCATCTTCTTGTTCCATGTGAGACGGAGTGGCGGGTGAGTCACCGGCGATAGAACTCGCCACAGAGTTAGGGTGGGATCTGTTGCCTGCCACCGAAAGCTCGGGAGCGGGCAGCAGACTGCGATCAGACCGCGGCCTTTGGACATTCAAGGCAGATGTGTAGCCGTTCATGTCTGACGAGATGTTGTTCAACCCATTGTAGTTCGGGTACATGTTGTCGTGAGGAACCGCCATGGACTTGCTGGCCAGTTGGTAGAACGCGTTGTTGTCGTGACTCTGCATGTCGTAAAGGTTGTCTGGTATCGAGTCTGTGACTGCAATCTGAGGGTTCGTTGTGTTGTGGTTAAAAGGCGATGCGGGGCCTGCAGAGCCCATAGAAGACAGAGAAGACTCCCGCTGGTGAGGTAATCGGCCGGTCGGCTTAGGGATGTACTGGCTTCCTACTACCCAAGCGTCTGACTGCATCAGGTCTTGCTGGTGGTTCAAGTTCAAAGACGAGTCGTCGAAAGCCGTGGTGGTGGTGGCCGCTCTTCTTGGCACGGCCAGGTGGGATGCGTTGTAGTTGGAAAAGCTGGCAGGCTGGTTCGCCAAGGAGTAGTGAGAGGAGAGAAGAGACTGAGTCGAGAGCGGCGAGGATGATATACTCGACGAGTTGAGATCGTGTGCGGCGTCGTCAAACGATGCGTCGAGGTCGAAGTCGAGTGAATGCAGGTAGAACTGCTGTGGTTGCTGGGATTGGGACTGAGGGTGTGGTTGGCTGTTGGGATAGAAGTGTTGTTGTTGTTGTTGCTGGAGAGGTTGCACAGTAGCGGGTCGGGTTAACAGCATGGTGTGGTTTTTTGAAAAGGTTGAATGTTTTGTAGATGTGGTGATGCGAACAAGTTCGAGTGGCAAACCACGGAGGGACGGCCGACTTATAAATATGGGAAGAGCAAAAGAAGGTGCAGCCAAAGTTGCACTACGTATTGGCTTGCATCCACGGGCCTCGCTGTTAGTGAGGTAAACGATACGTACCGGAGTAGGCCGTGGGGCTTAGAAACGACCGGGTCAGAGGTACGTACTGCCTTCGCACTTGCTCGCTTTGCGAAGCGGAGGTACAGGCTGGAGGGCCCGAGGCTTGGACTTTGGGATGCTTGAGTGGGGGATGATGGCAGAACAGGGGTGCAGGGGGTCTGGGATCGGGACCAGGGGTGTATACCTTGTGAATGATGCAGGAGGGTGATGGGAATTGAGGGGAGGGGGGGGACAACAGGGACGGGGATGGAGGGGACGGAAGCACAGGGAGAAAAGGATGGAAGGAAATTTTCACAGATGTGTGGACGTATTGATGACCACTCTTCGTTGAACTCGGTCTGGATTTGATTTGTCTTGGAAGCCCGCGGAATAACAGCCCATTGAATGACAACGGCCCAACCGGGGTTTGAGTTTTCTTGCTCCGTCAAGCACCCAAGGATGGATGTGTAAGGGATGTGAAGCTGCTTTAATAATGCATTTGCGCAGGCCATCGAAATCTTGATGCGCATAAGCAGACGGGACGAAGACCTACCCTCTCCGGTTCCTTCACGTTCTGCTACCTAGTTTTGCTCGGCTGTCAATCGACACCGGCCCTCTTGACCTCGTGACCTCGGTTGGACAATGCGAGCAGTGCGCCGATGCCTAGCGGTCCTAGGGTGAGTTGACTCAGAGGGGCGCGGAGCTGAGGGGAGGGTAAAGTGGCCGCAGGCAGACGTATACCGCGAGTCTTCACGATGGCGGATTCAGGCTTTAGCAGCTGACGCGGGAACGAAATGGGTCACGCCGCTAGAGATGGGTAGACTGCGCGCCGACCGAGCCCAGCGCTCGGGACATATGGGGTGACTAATGGGCGGCTTTTCATATGTTGGTACTAGCTCGAGGTAATGCGAACCCAAGCGACGGGAAGTTGCTCGAAGGCTCTGTAGGGTTCTCGGCTAGCGACCTGTTTGCGCGGCAGTCGTCGTAATTCGCGGGGTCGATTCAGCGACTCGACGACTCAGTGTGCTTGATGAGTGAGCATGCTAAGAATAGGTCGAATGCCCAGTGCATTTTGGGGCATTCCAGATGGGAAGGGTATGGCAAAAATGCCCATCCACTCAGCAAAGCAATGCGGGTGATGAATGCTACACGGTCAGTATTTACCCTATGTGCATACATGGGTGGACGGATGGCCGAGACGGGAAATAGCGCGGAGGTAAAACGTATGTTGTAAGTTGTGTTAATTCTCAGATATGCACTGCTGCAAGCAACGAAGTTTGGTTTCAAGAAACCAACAACTCCGACGCCAACATGGCTCTGGTGGTGCACTGGAGGGGGTGATTATGCTCAAAGAGTCGTCGAAAACAGCGATCAAGACGTAAGATGGATTGATGGACAGACCGGGGGAGCCATTTCGGCGACGGAACGACATCGATAGCCCCGTCGCGTGTCTGGGTGGAGTGACGTAAGGCGGGTGGGTGGTCGGGGCCACTGAGGTCTCACAGCTTTAGTGTCCTCTGGACGCACTGATGGGCGCTGCGGTCCACAGTCCAGCACCTAATGACTGCATTGCAAGCGCAGACAGAAGCAGTGGAATGACATTATGGAGTTGGGTGGTGGGCCCACCCGATGACACCCAGCAGCTTCAGCGTGAGGTGAGTGCTCACACTCCCCTCGTCCATCAGTCCTGCCAGATGCCCCTTCCATGTTGCTGCTGTTACACGCGCACACGCACTTTACCTTATAGGAACACAAAGCAATGAAGCAGTGTCACTAGCGTCTCGATGTCAGGAAGGAGCATCTTGGGCAGGACCCCTCCCCAGCGGGACCCCGGCTCAAGGCGTTTTAGGGTAAGCGCCATGGTGCCTTCCGTCACCTTATCTCACTGGCGCTTGATCGTCAACGACCATGTCCCATCTGAGATGGCGGGAATGGGTTTCTGACCTCAGAAGCCCCAAAAACATGTCACCACCACTGTATATCCCCAGCCTCGACAAGTTTCTACTGGCACTATGGATCCTCGATATGGAGGAAAGAGTCCGAGAACCAACCCTGGCCCGGCTGGGCCATGCCGTATCCTGCCGAACCTCGTAGGCGGAGAGGCCTCTCTGATCCATGGCAAGCGTTGCATCCCTCTTGAGGTGGTCCACGACAGCTCGCTAAGGCCTCGGTCGGGTACTGCACGAGCAGGACTGCGGTTCCTCCCCCTCCCCAGCGTGCCGTATTCCGCATCCCAGCTGGCCTTGTCTGGCTGGACCTGTCTACTAGGTATGCTGTGCCGTTGTGCTGCGTCTGGTTGGGAAACGCCGATGGTGGGGAAGAAGACAAGGAAGTGTGGGCAGGTCCCGGCTCAACCTTTCAAGGGGGGAAATAGAGATGGAGGGGGAAACCGGCGATCGCTACCATGCTGGCGCTGTGGTAGTCCCTCCCTCTCTGGTGCTCGCACCTTAGTGCAAGTTTTCTTCTATCGACGGCGCTCCACAAGGGCTAGGTGTTTGAAGGGTCCCATCGGGCCAAGTCAGAATGATGGCAGGGAACAGGGGCTCGTGCCAAAACGCCATGACCAGTTTTCGCTGGAGTTAGGCATGGGTGTCTTTGCTATTTCCCACCCTTTACTTTCTGGCCCCCTTTCTCTTCCCCTCGAAATTTTTCCTTGGAGTAGAATTGGCGACAACAGACGGAGAAGGCGTCGGCTAAGGCTCGGTAGGCCACGGTGCTTCGCAAAGAGGGAGAGACCCGGGAAGCAAGGCATGGCGGGGGAAAAGCCGAGTTGCACCGCCATGGCATGCATTGCGTTGCAGTCGAGTAAGGAAAGAAAGGCATACAAAACCAAAAAAAAAGGTAAAAGTTGAGCTCAGCCACACTGCCCGAGTTGGGCAAGAGTCCTGTCTTCGATCAAGCCGAAGCAAGCCATTAGGCCCCATGAGCAGCGGCTAGCCCTCTTGAGACCCCGGTTGAGCAGCTGTAATGTACATAGGACAGTACTATGTACGCTCTGTGCTGAGATGCGACACTCATCAGGGTCCTGAACAGCGTGACAGCTCCTTCAGCCACTCAAATCTTTGGCCCTGCTTTGAGTACCCTGTCAAAGGTTCGCATTTCCCACTTTGTATGCAGTGCACTTCCAAAAAAAAACCACACAAAAATAAAAAAACCTGGCCACGGCCTCGTGGCTTGCCACGCTGCAGGTACGCCTACATAGTACACACCAGTAAAAGGCCGGTTTCCGTGCCTGGATTCATGATCGAGTCCCTTTTCCATTCCCAACTCAGGGTTCCGATGCCCTCGTGGGGAGACCCTGAGTCTTGTCCTGAGTCTTCTTGCTGTCGAGCATGTACCACACCACGCGGCTCATCGAAGCCTGCTGACTAACGGGAGCAACGTTCCATCACAGTGACATTCACTTGAACAAATTGCAAGAGGATGGCGGTCATGGATGATGTCAGGTCCCGTGACCTTTCCTCATTGCTTACCTAACCATACCGTAACCTCATTCAACCCCCTAATCCAGCTGGCTCCCTCTCCGTCTGTTTCCGCATGGAGAACTCAGAATCCCCCCCATTCACCAAGCATAGACCTTTGCCTTGCCAGTACTTTTGCGTTTGAACCCGACGCACATACGGCATGCGGAAACCAGCACCTCGCCGTCTGATGTGCTTCCATGGCGCGTGATTCATAACCTTCCGTCATCGGTCCATCAAATCGAAAAAGCAGCCTCCATCATAGGGCCCGCGGACAAAGTGCGGTACAACAACATGCGAAGTTTGGTCCAGAAACCTTTCTTCCGGTTCCCGGCTTTTCACGTCTGCTGCCATGGTCCCTGCCGCACGCTACTCGTACCATACGCTGTTGGCTGCATGCATCGCGTCTACTATGGTGTGATGGGTAAGTCTTTTACCCACAACAGGTAGTTCTTGGCTTTGACCCCACAGCCAGCGAGGAATCACAACCCAACTGGCTGGACAGTCACCTAAGTGTGCGAAGTACCAGTGCTTAGATCTGCCTGCTTACAAGCCACAAGATACCTGACAGGGGTAAAAAACTTTGGCCTGGAACCATAGTACCTTTCCTGAATGGCAGTCCAACCGGGGTGGGGGGCCCGCGGATAAGGTGTCTTGGCGCACCTCATCTGGTATCAGTTTTCAGCCAGAGATCATCGACCGGTCAGCTAGTCACCAGTCAGGTGTGAGTGGTACGGTGGTGGTGTGGTGGCGTAGTGTACTACCTGTGCTGAGGAAAGTGAGGAGAGGTGTGGCTAGTGGCCGTTACTACTCTAACCCTTGACTGACGAACACTGCTGCTGTAAGCTGCCTGTACCTTACAGAGCATCGCCGTCGTCGGCCATTCCTCCGCTCTAGCGCTCTTCTGCCCTCCAAAGCGGACCCTCGCCCACCTCCGTCTTCGTACTCGTTTGCATTTGCAGCCTTTGTTTCACTTCAGAAGGCCAGTCTTCTACTCTACACTAGGTAGTCAATATGCATGCTCTCAATATGTGACTTACAACCTCTTCTGTTGTGGCTCAACCTGATCCATAGACAGGCCACCCATGGCTTATGCTTCTACATTTAGCTCTACCGAGGCACGTAGGCTCTGGGCGGAGTACCCTTCCAGCCACATCATGCACGTCGGCTGACATATCCCACTGTGGCTTGTGCCCATCTCTTCCCTGCAGACAGGGCAGTCAGGCCCCCCTAGCTCCCGTCAGTCGGACCCCGGCCGAGCGGGTTTCCTCGGATAGTCATCTCTCCACGGTGTGGCCTGGCTCGCACTCAGGTCAATCAAACTCGTACTCGAACTAAAGAGTCAAGCTCGAAGCTGAATTGTTGAGCTGGCCG